GGCCCCGCCGATGTACCCCCGCCTACCCCCGCCCTCAGGGCTTTGCCTCTGTTTCTGTTGCGTTTTGGTGCCCGCTCTTCGTGAGGTGTTTGCGGGGGCCGTGTCCAGACGCCTGAGCAAAAACTGCATATCCTCAACAACGGCAAATGTTGTTTTGGGGAGGGGAGGAAGGCAGGCAGGAGCTTTGAGGGAAACAAATTGTTGCTATGTGTGTGCAGAGCACTAGGATCTGAGGAGCGTCTCCAGGATGGGAAGACAGAGCTTTATAAAGGTATTTACACAGCTGTGAGGAGCCATAAAGATGGAGAGGGACAAAAGGGAGGGAGAAGGACAAAAGGGAGGGAGAGGAGGGGACCTGGTGTCTGAAGGGGAGGTCAGAGCTGAGAAAGGTGACCAAGGAGGCACCTCCGAAGGGTTTTGTCCCTGCTCTGAGGTCACTGAGGCAGAAAACAGCACAAAAGTAGTTGTTTTACGCAGTGGAGAATGGGTGAAACCTAAACCAAAGTCTCCCACTAAAGGCAAGTCTTAGGGGAATAGTTAGGGTAAGATCTGGAGGAGGTTAGTGTCAGAAAGAGACCAAGGGTACTGTCCAGGGCCCCTCTACTGACTGAGGTGGACTGAGATGACACAGCTCTAGTGCGAAGGTTGGAACGCACAAGCTGGGAACTGTTCAGCCATAAAAAACCACAGCTGTACTGGGCCTTCGTGCCGCTTTCGGTAGCACATAGGTTTGGCAAACCCCATGTCACAGCGGTCATCCAGCAGCCCTGCTGGAATTGCCGTACGCATTGATGTATTGATGCCAACGACATATGGTTCCCTCCCTAAAGCAATGCAGCCAATACAGTGTCACACTGCAAAATCTGCAGTTGAGGTGAACATAGTGTCTGAAAATAACAGTGTTTGTGGCAGTAGGACACACGTTATAAAGCTGTGCTACCCACGCTCGCAGTGTATTTGCTGTCTGTGACAATGTCTCTAACACAGCAGGCTCTCTCGCCTTCAACAAGCCAGTAGGGCAGCACGGCTCGGCACAGCTTCAGCATTCAAGCAAAAATTTGGCATCGTAGTGTAGTATCGGATTGATAAGGAGTTAACAAGGCCCCAGAGGTATAAATGGTATCCTCCAGGTGCTGATTAAAACAAGGATGAGCTTCTGAAATTTGGACCAGCTTAGACTAGTCACCATGTATGTCTAGAATCAAAAGAATTTCTGTATAAAAAGTAATAAAAAGTTGACTTTTGGTATTATAATCATGGGAATAAGTAATGCTCAGAACGGTCTTTATGGTTTGGATATCATAGGATAACTAAAGCTATCTGAAAAGAAATACAGTTACTGCTGTAGACGACATAGCCAGGGAATATTTTCACGGCCCGGTGATAATTTTAACATTTTATTTATGTTTTAAGTCTCAGAAGAATGGAGTGATATTATTATATATTTCTGTAATGACTTATTTACAGTACCCCTGTTCCACTTCTAGCAAGTGTTTTCTTTAGAAAATGGAAAAGATCCAGAGACAGGCAATAAAGATCGGATGAATGGAAAGGATTGCGTACAAGAAGAGAGTGAAAATTTTAATCTTGTTTACAGCTAAGGTTAATAGGAGGGGAACAGACTTATTTGAAACAACAGGTCAGCTGGAGAATGGGCATAGGACATTCAGATTTATTTCTATTGGTAAAGAATAATTACATTGAATGGCAATAATATGGGATGCAAGGGAATACTTTCCGTACTGACGCTAAGAAATCAACTTTCAAAGAGCTATCTATCAGGTGCATAAGGGGAACAGAAATATCATTTATATGTATGTGTATTCTGATGGTGATACGTGTATCATTCTTCAGTGTAGCTGGGAGCCAGTCACTGCTTAGAGTTAGAAACACCTTGTGCCCTGGTTGCCAGTTCATTCTCATGGTGTGCATGAGAATAAATCACTCTGATATACTCACTTTTTCATTATGCAAGTCACATAATGTTGATTTTTATGGTACACACAAAGCCTGTCCTAAAATTCTTAAATTACAAAAGTCATACATGTATCAGGAATCCAAGTCCTTGAACCTCTTATCAGTATTTTTCTCATCAGTTCTTCCCAGTTTAATTCTGTTTTCAACCCATGGTGTCTTAATTCGGTTTTAAATCTCATTTAAGAATGCTCTTCCTTCCTTGAAATTTCCATGCGAAAGCGTTCCTATCTGCCTGTGGCCTTTTGCCTCTGTTTGGCAAATGCCATTTCCAAGAGCTCATTTCCATTCACTCATTTCGCTTCTCTGTTTTCAATTCCACACCAGAAAAGTGGGAGACCATACAGCTATTTCTGGTATGTGACATGCAGTCATTTGGGGTTTTTTTTCTGGATTGCGTCTCTGGAAACTGCCATATTTCAAAGAGTAGGCCTGTAAGCGCACTGAACCTCGCCTGCGCTGCTTGGGTAAAACATGCTTTGGAGCATCTGGTGCTCGACATCGGTAACTCGACAACGGTAAAGGCAAATAATCGAGCTGAAACACGGTCACAATTGCCTACCAAGGCAAACTGGTGAAGCGCGTGAAACAGAACATCTCCCCATGCAATCTTCAGGTTTTTCAAGTTAAAGATTTAATGGCCTTTTGGAGGTCAGTTTGTTATCCTTGGAACCTGTCATTCCGTATTTATGGACGAGCAGTTGCAAAAGGCACTGGCAGAGGAGATGTGCATTTTTTCCCCTGCCAGAGGTGGGGGAATTAGGTGTTTTTTGCCTGATACATTTTATGTATCTTAATGAATCTTGTGTGTCTAGTAGCTTTTCCTGCCTGCTTTTGAAAGATAACTTCCTACCACAGGTGGCTCCCATCCTATCTCAGGCTTTCATGGTAGGAGATTTTCGTGCTGTCTACAACGAAAGGATGTCGGACTCTCCACCAAACCCTTCCTTTGAGCGCTGCCCGTCGGTATTTCCGAAGCAGTAAATTACCATCTCGCCCAACGTGGCAGAACGCTGGGAATTTTATTACAGCGCTCGCTCTTTCTGCATCCTTGTTCCTTGACGCCGAGTATTCTCTCTTTCTCTACAAACACAGAAGCCATATGGGCTTTCTGGTTGGCGTTTTTCACTCTTGCTGCGTGCGCGCTGTTCCACCAGTTCATCGTTGGGGCAACCCCTGGAAGGAGGCTGCTCAGCCCCGAGACCAGCCCCGTTCCCTCCCCGTGCTTGTCCCGTGAGCACAGCCTTCACCCGGCCTCTTTCATGGAGAAACGAAGGAACCGCGTTCGGGCCGCCCCGCAGCTGCCTATGGCGGCCCTCGGGGGTCACCGTTCTCCCGGGGGCGGCCATCTTGTCGGAGGCCGCTGCGCTGGAGGACTACAGCCCCCAGCATGCTCCGCGGCCTCCCGGCCGGACTACAGCGCCCGGCGTGCCCTGCGGCCGTCGCTCCTTCAAGATGGCGGCGCCCAGGGGAGGCTCGGGCCTGGACACCGACACG